TATATATATATATATATATATATATATATATATGCATGCATTTTAAAAAATTTACAAGTGGAAGTTGTGCCCACTCATATAGTAGTGAGGGCTGAAGCATAAAAGATTTCATCGTTCAGAGGAAAAGGGAGGGGGGATGTACTAAAATGAGGGAGAGATGCCGTTGTGAGAAATATTACTGTGATCAACCGTTTTTGAAGCCATTCTTGAATAAATACCCACATTCGTCATCTGTGGCGAGGCTATTTGTCAAAGTTCTTGCTTCTTTGATCACTGCGTGAGGCAATGAGCGTCCTTCATCCGTGCACATCGCACTTTTCTTCAAAAACAAATCATTCTACACAACGTAAGCTCAACAGTACATACCTTTGCTCGTTTTGTGTCGGGCTTTGTTCCAACTTTATCAATATCATCATCAATATTCACAACTCGGAAAGGAAGAGGACGGAATGTTCCTCCGCAAATGATTGCGAGTCCAATTAGTACTGTAATAAGTGTTTCAATATAGACCAATGATAACGAAGATGGATACAGCAACGAGTGAGTTTCTTCCGATGGAACTGACCGAAAAAGGGAAGAGTGAATGTTAAGATTACTTGGATCTCATTTCGTTAAGGTATGAATTTGTCTTATCTTGGTAATTTGCCTAGCGCTTCCAACCACAGGATGCCGCGCAAGGGCATGCGAGAAGCCTTTTAAGAACAATCGCATTCTTACGAGCACTATTAGATAAAGTTTCGGAAAGAAAATTAGGGTAGAATTAGCTCTACGGAGGCAAATACCTAAGAACACAGCAATAGTCCGCTTAGTCACCATTAATTTAGGAACCCTCACTGAGGGACGTGAGTTGGCAGATCCCGCATATAGGAATAAAGGGGAACATACAAGTTATGCGACATTATGAGAATGTGAGTGTTTGGCCATAATAGGATGTAATAATAACTGTATCTGAAAGTCTAACGGCAAGACTCCTGAAATTGAACAACTATGTGGTTGACTTGTAAGACTGCACTGCGAGAAAATCCAGATTCTCAATACCTATGCATCAGAAGCCGGAAGAAGAAGAAATGTTCTGACAAAGACTCAACGGATCAACGGATTGAACTGTATCCATACCACAGGATAAGATAGTCTTCTTCAAGCGCATCTCAGCACTCATCATTACTTATAATAAAGCGCTAAGTTCGTTTGTATGTGGGTGGTGTGTGTGTCTGTCTGTCACGAAATCAGATAGTTCATTTGTCCTGAGGAAGTAAAAAAGCAGTATCAGTCGTTATCATGTTAATTGCAGAATACTAAGTAAACAGAGCAATTTGTGGTGAAGAACATGGTAAGTTGGCTGTTCACTTCGTGTTAGGGGCGGCCAGCAGTTGGATCTGATGGCCTCTGTGATTTTTTCCTTTAAGATGGCGTTAAAAGGTGAGATCAAACTTTCAAACCTTTCGCAGACAAGGGTTTCAAACTAAATCAAGAGCACTTTTTCCGCTAATTTTGTAAAAAACAAGAAATTGGATTCTTTAATACAGAAACAGTGCGAACCTTTCCGTAGGAGAGGTGATGCAATGATGCACGAAAACGTCACGGGAGTTAGGATACTAAGCATGACTAAAAACGCGTTGAGTTCGCAACGGCTCAACATAGCATAGTGAACATATAACATCAAAAAGCATATTGATTACGTATTCAATAAAGATTGACAAACACATATTGATCGTAGCGCCTCAAACAGTACGCAGAGCTCTCCCAGATGAAACATCCTTAGCATATGCTTTTACTTATAGACCTGATTGAAAAATAGAAAACGATTAAGTGGTAAAAACTGAAGAATAATTCTCTGGCCGAAAATGCTCTTCTAACTGCTCTACCGTCCTTACACAAAAGACAACAACAATGTCTGGTCTGATACTGATAAAGCCACTGCAAAAAATATGAGTAAAATATGATTATGCTGAAAGGTCGAGAAAAGCGAACATAAATTGAGAACTTATGCTGAATTTGTGAGGCGCCAAGTCTGTAACTAAAACAAATTGGCTTTTCTACGCTGTATATTGCCACTGCGACAAATCTTATTACACTGTATTAATAACCTCTCCTCACAAAATATGCACTTACATACTTTAAAAAAGAAATAAATCTGAAGCCGTCGTTCAAGTCACACTGCCACCTCCTCCATCTGACGTCGGTCGCTCTCCTTGCCTCACAGCCAACTCAACTCATGCCCTTTCGCTGACGCAAATTTCACACTTAGCGCTCTAATGAAGCCCCGCTTTATTCTCTTACCTAGCCGCCAATCTATTCCCACCTAACTAACCGCTAAGGGGCACCCAATATTTGACTTCGAGCGCATCTGGACTACAACTTCAAACTAAGTGCATCCATCGGCTTTGATTTTCGCTTTACACTCACTAGAACCTTATGAGCTGCCGCCGCTCTAAAATTCTCACAGGCATGGTGACAGGTGATGAGGTACTCGCTTTGAACCATATAGATTGTGGTTAACCGGAGCTGCGTCTTTAAAAGATTGTGTTAGCCTCCGTTCCGCTTTGCATCCACCTCAGCCCACGACCTATCAATGATGTAAGTTTCTTATTATGTGGATCAGAGCATTACGCTTTCTACTTAAGCCCTAAGCTGGTGTTTAGCGCTTCAGCGAAATCAAGTCTCTCAAAAAGTAAGTGTATAGGCTTCCGTCGCCGCAACCCCCCACAAGCTGTACATATAAATTTCGTACATGAATGAGTGAGCTTTTCATTGAAATGATTATTTGTAGCAGAACCTCGACCCTTAGATGGTAACTTTGTTTGCCTTCGCTCCATACATGAATGAAGATACTGTCTTTCGAATCAAATAGATTGTTTCAGTCGAAGCCATGTTCTTCAAAAATTATAATTGTTGCCTCATTTCCGCTTCGCGAACATCCTTGTAAGTTTTTTATCAGCTGAATTAGAGCTTCATGCTTTCTATTCAGAAGCTGGATTTTTCTTCAATGAAGCCATTTCCACCAAAGAATAAGTGTATCGACTCAGATACCATGTGCGACCAACCAGCCTCATGACCCGTCTCAGAATTTCTCACAAATATTTGGATGATGCGATGATGTCTGTAACTACCTACTTTTTACTCGAAAACTTGTAGTGTTTCTATGAAGCAATGTTTCTATGAAAGTCGCGCTATTGCAATTGTCATCAGTTGCCACAGCATAAGTAGGAAAATGTTCTCTTTCGATTGATATACGTAGTACTTCACTCAGTTTATCAGGAAACAGCTAGGATTGTGTGCAATGGGAAAAATTGCAAAATTTCTATAACTTTTTCCTTAAAGATCTTCTAAAAGAAGGCTACAGTAAGTTCTTGTCTTTAATTGTTATAAAAGTCCTTTACTAGCACAAACTCACAGCCTTTAATTACGTCATTCTTTTGGTGAATAGTGGGTGAACATCTTACGACGGCGTTCTCGGGTACCCAAGAATATCAAAGGATGCCGACAGGAGATGCAGTACAAATATTCTCACCCACCCATGCAAAATCAAATAATTTTTCTCTAACAAGTCATAAATTTTCTGAAAGCGGAAGAATTGGGCTAAATATGCCCCTGATGTTGCGATTTGTTTTCAAAAAAAATTAACAAGCTAGGCGGAATTTTACAAGCTAGGCGGGGCGCGATCCAACTAGAAGTTCGATCCCTTTCAAATCACATACTACGAAATTTTTATACTTTATCAAGGGATGCCTCAGTAATGCTTTTAACTCTCGCAAATCAATTCGTCTTCATAACGGCTGCCTGTAAAAATTTCTGATGGGCTTACACAGCATACCAGGCGTTGCCTGACAAATTAAAGCAAGATACTACATTCACATTCAGTCAAAAAAAAAGAGGTTTTCCTTGTTTCTGGTGTACTCGCAATTGTCGAT